AATTTTTTCATTGCCTTCCCAATCTAGCAATGGAAGTTCCACACGACTGATGCAGTCTTTGAAAGCCAAATTGTGTCTTACTAGTGTACGGTAAGCTGGGTCATCTTTGGCCGATGAAGACCTTGGCTTCGAATAAAAATATCCAAAGCAACAGTGTGAAACAATGTATAACACCAATTAAAACAAGGAACTTCCACACATTTGAACCATACACTTGTCCCAATCGGATCGCTTGTCGGAGCGTCGACTGTCCACTCCCCACTTCTCCTGCCAACCTACAAACCAACACGTAGAAAGATTCATTGGAACAAACTCCAACCAACACATAGCCTTCTGTCCAATGACTCTCTGAGTTCCACTGCAACAGGAGTACCTATGAACTCAAGCAGTCATTCCCCAACAAAACTTCAAACACTGTATTTCTCATCAAGTGCGTGCAGTGAAGAACCTTAGCAATATTTTCACTGCTTCTTGAACACACTTCAGCTAGTGGCAGCTGTCCATTGCAGCTACAGAGCTGCGCTACCAGCCCCAGACAGTGTTAGCACTGCTCAAAAAAATTCCCCATCCACATCACTCACAAGCCAGCATTGTACCCCCTGGCAGTTCCACAGCACAACTGGAACCTATATTCAAAAAAACATACAGAAACTTGCAGGTATGACTTGCGAATCTCTTTGAGGACCGCGGAAAATTCAGCACGCTTGCACCTGGTTTCTGCCACCTGTTCACTGCAACCACACATCACAAGTCCATCAGCAGCGCACAAAAATTCTCACCTTATTTGCCACTTCAGTGCACGTCGCACTGAAGGTCAACTCATCCTGGATCGTTGACACCCTGACAAATCACAAGTCTGATGTTTCCACTAAAGCAAAGCACAAGCGGACAAAACAAAGCACTATGTACGCAAGCTTGCCTGCCGTACAAATCACTCAAGCTCTTGACATACTCTTGCACCACCGCCACATTGCCGGCCATTTTCTCGAAATTGGGCAAGTCAAGGGCCAACGTTCAACTGGGTAATTTCCTTCTTGACTTCATTTCCTAAGCATCAACAAGTTCACACAGTACCTGTAGCCCAGGAAGCAGCATCACTGAGGTCTGGGCCCAGCAGCTTTGTCTTTTCACCCACAGTTTTTCCAGCCAAAGCCACAGCTGAAAGTGGATTTGCTTTAGGCTTTGGGGCCGGCTTAGCATTACCTCCTCGACGTTGGGCAACTTTGGCCACAGCACCTTACACAAAAGAAACAAACACGAACTGGCACACAGTGCGTGCTCCAAGCTGAGCATGGGACCAGCAGCACCCAGCACGGGGGCCGACGCAGCAGGAACATTGGCCATTGCTTGCCGGGCCAAAGCTGTTGGGTCTGCATGCCGCACTGTAGCCATGACATTGTTGTTGACAGCCATAGCTTGGAGCACATCATTGGGCTGGACATTGCCAGACAAGTGGGTCTCATGAACTTCTTCATCTTCCTCTTCGGCAGTAGCACCAACGAAGGCCCAGTATTTGTACGAAGCTTCATCCGTAGGGCAATCTGGGTCAGGGACTGCCCCCCGGGCCACACATCCACGAATTTTGGCCCTCAGCTCAAGGGAAAACAAAAAACTAAAAACAACAGCTGCTGGTGCTTCACACAAATTCGCCAAGTTGCTCTGAAAAGTTGGCATCAGCCATCTCCTTCAAAGTCATCAACTTGCGGCCACGGCGTTGGCGTTCAGCGTGCTTCTTGCTGACCTGGAAGTGGGCTTCTGCCCCAGGCATGTCTTCACCTGCTGCCACGTATGCCTGGAGGGCCTTTGCTTTGTCAAGCTTGCTGCCTTGGAAAAGCTTTGCCAAACCTGGAAACTTTTGGGCAGCAGGCCCCTTAGACATGCGGTCCAACCTCAGCCACTGCTTCTTGTGGCTGACACTGTTGTAGATTTCCTCCAAATTGCCGTCTCCATGAGACATAGCCCTTGAAGCATCTGCGCTCCCATCAACGAGGGCATTCAACTCCTTCTCCAAGTTTCCAATGCCACTGGATGGCGCTGGGGAAGTTTGAGGCATCATAGAATCCGATCTGCGTACAGGCGTTTCCTGCCTGGAGAAGCTGTCACTGACTGACACGTTTTCATGCTCATGCGTGAACATATCACGACTCATGACATGAACAAACTTGAACATGAATCATGCGCACATGCATTCCAACATGAGACCCTCTCATGAACCAAGCACTAGCGCATGAAACCCTCATGAGCACATGCGCACATGAAACCCTCATGAGTGCATGGACACATAAACCCGCATGTCTAAAAACATAAACATTAACAAAGCAAGTGCACATGGTCGCACATGAGTCATCAACAACAACACATTGAATCATAACTATACAAACATGTCACACAAATATACTTGAAGTTCTTATTGAAACAGACCACAAACAAAAACCAATCTAAGGCCAACACTTCTGCTCCCCTGGGCTGCCAGCATCACCAAACTGCAACTGCTTCGGTTGGGTCATAGCTTGCCCGCGAAGAAGGGTCGCAATGGACCTGCTAACAAAAACGGTGCGTGAACCAGAATGCACACACAACAAGAATCAGGCCTTTGCGAGTCACCACGCCCCACAGCAGCAGGTGAAGTCAACACAGGTTCACCCTTTCCCTCCAGCTGCAAAAGCTGTTCTGGTGGATCAACTTGAGTGTCCCCCATCGCCTCCACTTGCAAGCTATCGCCTAACAAGCCCAACTGGTTGTCTGGGGAGTAGACTTGCGTAGCATTGTCTGGTATCTCCACAATTTCCACAACTTCTGTAGGAGCCGGGACAGGCGGCGCAGGTACCTCAGAAGGAGGCGCCTCAACTTCCGCCTCATTGGCAGGCGGCTGTGGCAAGGCTTTAGCAGCAGCTTTGGCTTTGGGCTTGGCTGCAGCTGCTTTTGGTTTCTTTTTGGGCTGGCTACTCTTCAACTCCTCCAAGATCTCTTTCGCCTCATCTACATCCAACTCAGCAGCCTCTGCCAAACGCTTTGCTGTTGGCCATTTTCCATTCGTCTCTTGCATCAACTCCATGCACACCCCAAAGTACATGTCTTGCTCCGACAGCTCCGCCATGGCGCGTGCAGGGTCACCAAGACAAGCGCGCTCACTTTTGCTCACTTCAAGCCACAAAACTCTCAAAAACACAAGCCCAACATGGAGCGAGAAAAATCTCGGGGATATTACATCGATTCACGGGGTTTTCACATCGAAATCTCGGCTTTTTCTCGGTCTGCTTTTTTTCAAGCCACACTGGCCTCTATCACCCTTGGTGAGCTTTAATGTCCAAAGCTCGGACTGCTTTGTCCAGACACCTCCCCCACCTCTCGGGTGGCTTGAAGCCACGGCTTTTCCTCAAATAATGGATCACATCCATGATCTTTGCCTTAGGGTTTGCACACACTAAAGGTGTGGCCACACACACCCTTGAGGCTGCCACGTCTTTCCATCCATCTGCTTGCTCCCATCGAATGGTCTCACGCATACTCAACAAAACTCCTCTATACTGTTTACCATCCCTTGGCCTTGAAGAGCTCCAAGTCTGTAGCACCCATATCCACTGTTTGCACCGAGCATGGGCCTTTTGGGAGCTCCTACACGCAAAAAAGGTTGCACAACGAGCTCAGAAACACCCAGCACAGTCCTGCCAGAATGGTCCATCCATCTCACTCTTCAGCTGAGAGATGCAGACAGCAAATCTTCGGTGGTATTTCCTGACATCAACCCCAACCAATTAAGCAACAAGAGAAACAACAACTGTTTACAGAAACTGGGGCTGGTACTGGGAGGCTTTCATGTGGTCACCATTGCCAGCATACCCATGGCTCCCATCAGGCTTTCTGTACTTCTTGGTCAAACGCTCTCCTTGAAGCTGTTCAAAATCCTCTGCCGACAGTTTGCCAGCAGCTACACAGAGACGCTCCAGCATTTGTTTGTCATTGCTGAACAGCTGGTGCCGCTTTGGTGTTGCAATGCTGCGGTCATCAGCAAACGCACCTCCCCATATACCCGTTTTGTACACAAAGTAGTCACTCAGCACTTTACCCAACCGAGTGTGTAGTTCTGCAACGCTGCCTCCAGGTTGTTCCAACAACCACCTTGCGCCTCCAACCATTGAGTAAATCATAACAAGCGCCATTCGAGACGCAAGGATATTGCCCATGGCGCAGAAACCATATCCTTGGTTTCCTAATGGAAACAAAATGCTCCGTTGATGGCTGCCAGAACACCTGAGGAAGCAAACAAAACAAGAAAGCAAACTCATACACCAATGCTACGCACTCATGCCGACAAAGCACGGAGCACAAAAGCTGTTGCACGCTAGCGCCACCACATGTAAAGCGCCAAGCTTGGAACGTCTCACGCATTGCAAGCACAACCTTAGTCAGAAAAGCAGTAACAAGAAACACAACTTCGAAGGATAAGGCCCCAGCGCAAACCCTGCTGGCGTCACAAAGTCCATGCTGGAATCATAGTCCCGGTCCAATGCAGCCCCAACATAGCCCGCCTACCAACAAATCAATACTAATATACATCAGTCATTTGTCCTATTTCTCTTTCAGAAAAGCCTCTGTCAAAGCTTGGCTCACCAAACCCTGCCCGGAGAAAAACTCCACATAATCATAAACCTCACAACAAGCAAGACATTCCACAACAGCCACTTCAAATACGTATCTAAGGTACTGACTGCATCGCTGGCCAAATCTTCAGTGAACACCAAGTGAAGGTGAAGGAGGACCAACACATATGGAGCACCCCATTGCAGCAGCTCAGCTACACTTACCCCACCCATTATTGGATTGTGTTCCTATCCACCTTGGGCAACTGGCACATGCACACATCCACAGGGCCAACTCACATCCACACATCACACACAAACAGTTCTGCCAAAACATTTTCACGCGGCAAAGGACCACGTGCACATAGCATGCCCTAGCTAGTGCAAATGTCTAGTGGCCAGGTGCCACCAGCTCTGTAATTACATGAACCGTCTGCGCTTCAGCTCTTTGAGCGACAGCGTCTGCAAATAGGATGCCCTCTCACCACTTTGCATCCACAACTGTTCTGCTTCTCTGTAGCCAATGCTTTTGGCAGCTCGCTGTGTCTCAATGAAATCCCTTTTCTTCTGCAAGAAGATCTGGGGCTCATACTTCACAACGCAAGCACCCTCAGCAACTACTTCCTTTTCCTTGGACGAGCCAGCAACCGGGACCTCCCCACCCAAGCCATTCTCAACTTCGTCATCAGCAACAACAGCCTTTTTGTTTTTCTTTTGGCTTTTCTTTGCATTTTTTCTGGTTGTTTGTTTCTTCTTCTGGCCATCATCTTTCAGAGCGTCAGCACACACATCCTCCTTTGCACCCTTCTCCCAAACACTGAAAGGAGCCACAGGTTCTGCAGTTTTTTCTTTTTGCAGTGTTTCCAAAACGAACTTTGGTAACACATTGGACCGAGCCGGTGTAGGGATAGGTCTTTCCTCAGGCCCATCTGCTTTGGCAGGTTCTACAGGAGCTGAAGCCAACGCAGCAGCTTTCTGTTCCTTCATTTTCTTCACTTTCTCTGCCAGAACTTGAGCCCAATCAGGTGGAGCAGCCAGCTGTTCAAGATCTTCTTCTTTGGCATGTTTGTCCTCAGCCTTTGCATCTGGAGCTGACTCTCCTTCTTGCTGCAAGCGTTGCTTCAAGCCCTGAATCGCTTTCGACTTTGCCCCATGAGGGCTCTGACGGTAGACATCCCGAAACTTTGTCACCACCTTCTTGAGACCAAGTGCCACCCGCGCTGCAAAAGCTTCCAAAGCTTGAATGGCTACTCCAACTGGCAAGCCTTGCTGCTCATAATGGAGTTTCACAGCAGCCGCTAAAACTTCCTCACTGAGCTTTGCGTGTGGAGTCACGCTCATCACAGCGAAGACAGCCTCCCACAACCAGTCACCCACACTGTATCTATAAACTGTACCCAGAAAAATTTCTTCTTCACAAGAACATGCCTCCACATTCAGCTCAACATCTTTGAGCGAAGCCGGTTGCTTCCCAAACAAATCTTTGGAGTATGCCTGCAAGAAGTTGAATCCAGCCTAAGTGCGAGCATCTATACCCTCTCCAACAAAATACACATGTTCAAGGCCAGGGCTTTTCTCAAGTGTTCTTCTCGACCAAATGCGTCAGCATATTTCTGAACCAACTCTGGCTCATCTCTGAGTTGCGTGAGAAGTCGGGGCATGGCTACAAAACCCTTGAACCAAAACAGCTGCAGCTAGCTTAAGGAATTTGTATGCAAGTACTGAAAGCTGCGCGCACACACATAGAATTCACCACATGTGGTCACTTGACGGCTCATCCCACCATCGGTGTTTGCGAAACCCCTCAGTGTTTTCATGAACACCATGAACCAACACACATGCGTGCATGAACACATGGCCGCACATGAGCGCATGTACATGCATGAGCGCATGACATTTCATGAACACATGACCATGCATGAGCACATGACCACAACACATGTCATGAACCACATGGCATGAACCACCATGCACCTACCTGGAACACAATGAATAATGAACACATGCGCGCATGAAACATATGCATGAATCATGAACACCCATGAACACATGAAAAACCATGCATGGGACCCCCAACCATTGGCACTAAGAAGGGCTAAGGTCGCGGCTGGCATCAGACCTGAGGAACCAAGAAGTACAAAGCACAAATCTGTCAACTGTTCAAACCAAACAGCTGAGAGCCCAGCACTTGACATGCCTACAGCCCAACTCTACTTCACACCTCCAAGCAAAAGGAGACTTGAACAGCTGAAGCCTCAAAAGGCACCCACAGCCTGAACCTAGAAGGTCACCATGAGGAGCCTCAAACAAATGATCACGTGGCATTTCTCACACAGTGCGCGCAAGAGTTCTTGCACCAAAACTCCTGCACATAACCTTTTTCCCAAACGGACAGTCAGTGCAGTCAGCCATCAAAACGGCCTCAGACGTGAGCAACAAACAAAGCAGTTCAACACACACACAAACACAAGAACACATCTCAGGAGGCTACTCAATATGGATACTGCCATGGATGAAAGGGCCAACCACCTCCATAACCAGTGTCGAAGGGCCTCAATAAAAGCTTCTTCAGCGCTAAGAAACAATTCCTCACCTTGAGCTACTTGAGTTCAGAGCGTCATGAAGCAAGAGCAACCATGCCCATGTGGAACTCCTGCATGTAGCCCAGGATGCCAAATTGGTGGCGGTGGCGCGTGCGCCCTGCCAGCCAACAAGGTGTTCAACCCAACCAGCAAACAAACACATATATACAACAAGCCTCCACTGGACAACCATCACAGCCGGCGGCGGCTTCGGCACAATGACAATCTCTCCATTGCGCTCCCTGCCAAATGCAGAGTAAGAACTGCAATCAACCATCAAAACTGTGGTGTGCAGCCCAAGCCTCACAGGAAATCCTTCTGGCGGTGGTGGCACAGGCAATCTCCAAGTTGCCGGTGCAACAGGTGGGGGTGAGGCTGCAACTGCCTTTGGAACTGGGGCAGGAAGTGACGGTGGCGAGCTGGCCGGCGCAGGTCGGTTGGTGGGCATAGCCTTAGGTGCCCTGTTCTTAGCTGCCTGCTCATACATGTCCTGGCAAACAAATTCAAGTACAGTAAAGGGCGAAGCGTGTTTCATCCTGCCTCCAAGCGCTTCAGTTCAGCACGCTTGATCATTATTTGAGCAAGACCTGCGTCAGGTTTGGCTTTCACAGGAGTTGGCTTAGGCGCAGAACTGGAGGCGGCTCCAGGCTCTGCAGCTGCACCACTCCGGTCTCCAGGCGCAGTCTTTGCCTTGGACCTGGCCTAGGCACAAAAAGTGAATGACATATCAAAAACATAAAAGAAAAACAGATTTTATCTGAGCCTCCCACGGCTTTCGCTGCCTTTCCAGCCACCTTCTTCACGAAGGGTTTCTTCACCACCATCACCACCTGCAGGCCATGAAAAAGAAACCATATACACCTAAGGCTTCCCATTTGCCGCCTCTCCAGACCGCATACCACGCCGCTTCATCACAACACTTGAGGGCCAAAAACGCTGCGCATAACAATCAAGCATAAGGAAACCCAACAAATGTTTCACAGCACTCACCTCCCAAGGTCCACACGCAAAATGTTGGCTGGCCCGGTCAAAAGGCTTTGAGCCACACGCAACACACCATGTTTCACATAAAAGAAAATCATGCATGAACAATCCAACAATATCCAACATGTGTCATGTCTTCGTGAACAATTATGAAATGTCATGAAACATGAAAACACCCTACATATGCATGAAGACATTCATGAACGATCATGTGTTCCCATTTGGACATGAGCGCAACCAAACACACATGATTCAGCATTTACCATGAAAACATTCAAAACATGCAAAAACCATCTAAACATACTGAGATCAAACTTGTGAGTGGGGGAGATGGCATCGAAATGTCCATTTCCATGCCATCTCCCCCCATATCCCGTTTCCATGCCAAAACCCCTTGAAATGACTCTCTGGGCTGTGCCTGCCACGAGAATCGCACTTCCACGCCTCAAAACCCACACACAGTACTGCGCCTGCCACGAAAAGTGACAATATCATCTCATGTCAGCTTCAACAAAACTTGCACCACACCACACGTTTGGAATGATTTCGACCCGTTCTGAGCACACTCCCATCCACCAAAATCGGCATTTCAGCTGAGACTTGTCACGAAAACAGAGCTTCGATGCCACACCCTGAAACGCAAATCCCAATGGCACGGCCATGTCCAACACCCCAAGAACACGACTCTGCAAACGCTAATCCCAATGGAACTGCGTAGCAACCTGCGGATCTCACAAAACGCTGCGCCTGTGCAGCGAAATGCATCACGCTTCTTGCGCGACGTGTCATTTTCATGCAAATCACAATGGAATAGCGTCGCAAACTGACACGTGACACATCCATGAAAAGTCACTTGCAAAAGCTTCCCCCAATGGCAGCGCCTTAGCGCTCTAGTGCGAACGGTTGCGAACGGTTGCGAACGGTTGCGGATGGTTGCGGACGTAGAAACAACGGATCGCGAACAAGGCTCTACCCCCAGACCCCCAAGAGTTAAACGAGAACCCTTCGCTACGCATTCGGGAAAAACAATATCATGGTCCTCACAACATGAACAAGGCGGTGGGTCTGCAGAATGCCTTCGTGGAGGAATAAATTCTGCAGATCGTATTGGATGAAGTTTCCTTCGACCGCCTTGGTTTCATTTCGGATGGAAAAAACTGTTCTTGTCACCAGACAGCTGATTTCAAAGTTTGGTGCAACCTTGGTTGAACCGCCAACAGCTATGTGTAGCTGGACATAGCTGGACATACTTCCCCTAACTATTTTTTCCCTGCATCTTGGGATATATTGAGAACTGTTTCACCCAATGTCCATGAACCTGGTTTTGCTTCAGATGTTTTACTTTTTAATGTTCCCTGCCAAATTCCCATACCTGGGGAATATATTGTTTGTTTGTTTTCCAGGCTTCCTGTTTTTTCGCAGCAAATCCAAGTCAACTATATATATATATATAACTACACTACCAGGGCGCCCTATTAATACCTGGGAACCACAACAACCGGAAACAAATGTTTGTTCCAATATATTATGGCAATTGAGATCCTTTACATAGCAAATCGTTGTTTGTGGAGCCTTTATTTATGGGAGGGGCTCGTTTGTAAGATACATAGATCAATCCACAAGTTAAAAGTCAATCAGAAGTGCAGCGGCCAAAAATCACTAAGCCACGAAGCATTTGTTCAACCAGCACCACTAGCTACACACAACTCACATAAAAGCTTGAACATTGCATTTGATGTCATTTGAACAGGATTGATCTGGATGAATCCTGCGGATGCCAGAAACGTGATTTCCATGCTACTTTGATGTCAGCTTTGGACTAGTGTGGAAATCATTTTGTTTTCAAGTTTGGGTACTTCAGGAGCATTGCCGTCAGACATGTCGCGGAAATTGTTGGTTGGTTTAGGATGTTTCAGGTTTGTTGGGTTTTGTTTTGATACTTTGCCTGGCTAGGTAGTTAAGGAGCATTGCCATAAGATATGTCGCAGATATGTTGCTTTTTGGGTTTGTTGTAAGTGCGAAAACTCAATGAGATATCACCATAGTACCGATGAAAACAGGATTTTGCGCAACTCACAACAAGCCTTTCCCTAGAGATCCAGTCGTACCGAACCTCAGGTACGGCACGACTGGACCCGACATGGCACCCACCCCAGTCCCACCGTACCGAAGCGGTTCGGTAGGAAAACGGATCCCTATAGGGTTTCTATCCCAGACACTCCATGGGACTGCCATAGGACTGCCGATCAGTTGGGGTGGTTTGAGGGGTCAATGTAGGCATATATGGCAGTCCCATGTGTCGTGTCTGGGAAGAACGAACCTTCCAGGGCCGTGGCCGTGACTGGTTTTGTTGCAGGTCGACACTTTAGGAACTCGACTGCCACAAGAAACTACGGAACCAGGAACTCGCGAGGAGCTCTGCAAGCAAATGCACCGCTCAAGACCGAAGTCCCAAATTCTGCAGAGGTATCTCCCCCCTAAGGATCCAGTCGTACCCTTTGAGAAGGTGTTTGGGGTGGGTTTGGAGGGTCCAAGTACCTTTTGAGGAGGTACGACTGGATCCCTAGGGCCCATCTGCCACACGTTTGGGACTGCCATATGCCGAGAAACGGCCAGGGGTGGGGCCATGAGGGGTCTTTCTGGGGCGGCAGTCCACAGTCCTAGACATGTCGCGTTTGGGTCTTGGATCCTTGGGGATTTTGGGCCGTGCTTGCCATGCTCGGCGAGGTATAGCTGCGTTACTCCCTCTCCCGCGACCCTCCGCGGTCCGCGCGCGTGGGTGGGTTTTTT